AATAATAATAATAATAATAATAATAATAATAAAGTGATCAATAATCCATATCTCAGAAAAAATGAAACAATTATGAATTTCTGTATATATATTTCTGCAAGTTAAAGAAACTGCAAAAATAATCTCGCGTTCCCATCTTCTTCTTGGCGATTTGGTCGACAGTGCGTATTGTATTTTTTATTAATTTTATGTCGTCAGCGTTTTCTTCGCTGGAATACTTGGTAAATCTGCCTTTATTCATTTGAGATATACAAAATGTTTTCTAGCACAAAATGTAAACCTAGAAAGCAAGTTCTTGCAAGGAGCCATAGAATATTTTTAACGAACTTTTACATTTAAATCGCTTTCTAGTATTCGTTGTCTGTCTAAGATCTCAATAAAGCAAATTCACAAACAGAAAATGGTTCATGCATGGTTAATCAAAACTTATTTCGTTCCAGAATTGGAGATAGCGGCGCACATCGACAATGCTGGCATATTAGCAGTGCTGTCGCACTTTCATGTCCTAGTCTTTATGAAGATATGGTACAAAATAAAATTTGGGGTTATGAAAATTCAATAAATTCGTGTAATTTGTATATCAGGGATGTCAGTCAGGGAGATATCTCAATGAGGAAAACCCGCAGGTCGACGTTTAGTGGAGGCCGAATCCCACGTTCTATGGGAACACCGCCCACGTTCTATGGGAACTAGAAGGAACACCGCCACCTGCGTGGACTCAAAATGCACTACAGACGGGACCGATGACTTCCTCACTGTTTCGAATTCCCTGCTATACTCTAACCGACTTGCGAATACCCGTCTCGCTTTTGCTGTGTTCGCAAGGTCGGATAGCGGAGCAGCGAGGCAGTCCTTTAATTGCCTGTAAATCATGGTTCCATTTGACATTCCTGACTTGTGTGTCCTACATAGCAGTCGAATGAATGCAGACACACGTGTGAATATAATATAGAGATAATAAAGGTGGACTATCTACAAAAATGTGAAATTGATTTGCCAATACTATGTATCAATATTTTATATATTTTTTAATCGACTAATTTGTCAAAACGTTTAAAATTTAGATCAAATATATGCTAACAATGCTTGAGGTGTGGTTTTCCCGATTATTTATCCTGGTAGACATTAAAGAAACACTGTGTTGAATAGTTGTTTGATCAAAATTCAATAATTAAAGTTGTATGTATTGATTTACCAATTGCATATATTTAAATCATAAATGTTTGTCAATTCTTTAAAAATGTAGAGCACAATTCTTTTAGATTTAAATTTACATTTTCAAACTTATATTTATTAGCAAACAACAGAACCTCTCAAACAAATGACATTCAAATTACTAACCTAGTAGTGGTCTAATGATGTCGCTATTTCCATTTAACAGGATGTTCATTTCAAAGAAAGAAAAATCGACTTGCCAACATCCTCGAGTGACGTTTCCCATCGCAAATTGTATTCATCTACCTGTTTTTCTTTCACGTAACGTTTTCTATCAATGTCTCAGAGCATTTCCAGAGAATGCATGTTACAGCGTGACAAAATTATTGATTCTCGAGGTCGGCTCAACTGTCATCGTCGACATGCACCGGTCGATACTTCTTATTCATAATGCAGAACCGTTTTGTTACAACGATGTCTGAGTTGCTCTGCATATGTCTCCTTCACGGACTATGACTGCTGCCGAAGAGCCTACTTTTCTCTAGCCCCCAGTTCATTTTCTTGCTCTTACATTCTGTAACGGGCTAAACAGAAATAATTAAAATTGTAAAATGAGTATTTAGACATACAATAGTATTGTCAAATAAATATAATATTTTTATGAAACGGAATGTACGCGTATAAAATGCATGTCTCTTAAAAATTGAAGTATCGCTTATCATCAATATTAATTGTACATTAGGTAGATGTAGTTAAATGTTTGCTTACGAAAAAAGGCAAATGTTCATGAAAGTTACAATTATCATTTCATTTATCATACAAAATTAATCTGTTGATTTGTAATGAACTGATTAATTTGCTTTGAGCACGATAGTTGGTTTCTAAAAAAAATGTATCAGAACTTTCTCGTTCTAACAATATTGACCGGCTCGTGTTTAGATAAAAAATATGCACGGTTGCAAAACCCCTCGACAATCTAAAACATCTTATAATATGTTAGAAATACACATTCCCTTGTAATGATATTCAATGTCCAAGGAATTGCAACAATGTCGATGCATACAGAATCATTTTGAAACCGCAGAGCGCCCAACGAGCGCTGTCTTGTGCTCTCTCTCTGCAGTACACCGTTCCACGCGTTTACTCCTTGGCCCTGTTTCAACATTGACCTCTGGTTGATACCGCACGACAACCAGCCAGCGTCCAGCGCAGAAAGGCGAGGGGGAGGGGGAGGGGGTCTGGTCGTAGAGTGCAGAGGGGAATACTTTTTTTTTTTTGGTCTCGCCTGGAACTTCGTTTTATGAAATTCGCGTATTTTTGTAAGTACAGACGTTCAGCCATATTCTTGATGGTATTGAACAAATATTTCTGATGACTGAAAATTTATTTTCATTTGATGATAGGTTTGTTGATTCAAAATGTGCTTTTGATGAGTTCTTTGTTTAAAGTTGACCTTTCAGGAAGGAAGACCCTTTCTGTCTCTCACAGTGTGTGCGGATTGTATCTTCCCAGCAGCAGTGACAGTAGCGAGTGTGTCGTGAATAGAGTGTGTGAGGAAGATCTTTCATTTTTGCATGTACCACGGTAGTGAACATTTCGAAATAAAATCTTTTATTTTGGTATCTTCACCACTGGTAGTCGCAATAACAAACAAGAGACCAAGATCATGTAAAGAAATGGTGTGAAACGTGCCCAAACAAACGTGGTTGTTGCAAAGTGCTGTATTACCGTGATTTTGAAACATTGTCGTATTTTTGAACAAGTTCTTTCTTGCTTTGTGTAAATTGCAATACCGGTAATAATCACCTGAGTTTTCGCAAGGGAAAACGTATGTGCTTATACAAGAAAAAATGTGAACGAGTTTAAAAAAGGAACATTTCCACAACTTGCAAATGTTCGTGAAAGTTCGCAGCACATTAAATATAATAAAATGTCTCACATGTGTGTGGGACGTTATACCTCTAATTTATTACTATGTATAATTCGTATTCGAGAAGATTGATGTTTTACAAGTATTTTGTGTTGAATTTTATTTCGGACCTTTTTAAAAACTATTAGCACATATTTAAAATATGTCTGCGTCCATTCCACAAGACTGCAAACTAAACCTCACTACGAGGGGCGGAGCATAAGTCATGGCAACTATTTTCATTACATTTTTGTGAAAATACGAGCAGCAGTGAAAAATTTGGAATATACACATGAAAAGAAAGGGTACTAAGTACGTGGATATTTAGCGACACACCAAAATGTTTCTCATATTTATTAAGGTATATGAAATTACAGTACTGCTTCCATGTTTCTAAGCATTTTAGCATACATGACGTTCCAACATTTCAAAAGCATCACATACCTCGTTCTAAAGGCCCAATTAGGCTGATGCTCGATTATCGCACGTGCTGTATCTGTCCGCACATGTTTGGCTGATCACTGGTTGCTACGCCTCCTCACAGAAACTCACCTACCCATCTCGCGACTGTCCGTTGGAGGGTAAGGGTATTACCCCCAAGAACTTCCACCAATTCCCTGTGGCATTCTCTGGCATTTCTCCCGTGGAGAACGTCGATCTTGGTGTATGAGCGCTTCCCGAAAAGGGTTACATTCATCTCGTATGGCGGCACTCGGACGACGGATCTCTCATTGCGATCAGTACTAATAGAGACATAGTGCCGACTGTTGTTGCTACTCCTTAGTACGCCATTTCTTTCACGCAACAAATAAAATGCCAATTTGCCATGGTTGTGTTTTTTATACCACCATTATCTGATCTATAATCATGCACTTATCATGATTATTTATTACTTACAATCAACGTACTCTTCATTCAATGACAAACAGCCATTATGATCCCCTGCTCAGAGAAGGGGAAGGCATAAAAGCGTATGTCATCACCCACACCTTCGCTCGGCAAGCATCATCATCATCATGAAGTTTCCTTGGGATTGTTCAGAGTGCCACCCATTCCGCGGGGAAAGCAGAGGTTCCCGTCTAATCACCGCACTTAACTGCCACCACTATTACCGAGCTGTGTGATAATGTCGAGTGGAATTCAACCTCGGTCTGGGACAGACGTCAGCAACCGGCCTCATGGGTAGTTTCTCCGATCAATACTAATCAATGCAGTACCTTAAAAATGGCTAAAAGGACCGCGCGATCTTTCCTTCCTCATCCACGCGTAACATGCTCACGCGCGCGCGTGCGTTTACATGCACTGCTCTACCACACATGTCGAGAGACCATTCGGGAGCTATGAGCTGGGTGGGTGTCCCGCTGTGGGAGATATCTGAAGTGGGAAACCCCGCAAACCCACGTCTAGGTGAACGCCGGATCTCAAAAAGCAAAGGAAGAACAGTGCCACCTCGTAGGATGTACCATGCACTACAATTAAGGAGTTCAGGGTTTTAGTACTAGCTTACTCGTCCGCTAACACTTGACCCTTCTGCACACGCGGTCCAGCTTTCAGATGACTGAGTTGTTCTTCCGATGATAGAATCTAATAGAATCGTTTGAGAATACCGTCCTTCTTCGAACCTCCCTATGATTGTTCTTAGATGTCATAGCTTCCATTTCATACCAATAGGATTTATGATGTCCTCACCAGCATATTCTCAATCAAACCGTGAGCAGCGCAGCATATTGCAAGCCGAAACTGATACAACTTTTTAGAGTAGATCTTGTTCTCATTATTGCCAAATACTTTAGATTGATGAAGTTTTATAATTTCGATGTTAGCAAATGTGTTAATGTGCTTTTTGGTTGAAGCAACCAGTAGTAAGCTTGAGATGCAAGACGCGCCGAATGACGTTAGCAAGCGCCTGTGGCGCAGGCTGTGTGAGCGTCCTCACCTGCGGGGCGTTGGGGCGCGCGGCGGGGTTGACGAGGCCGGCGGCGCCGGCGGGCGGCGCGGCCGCCTTCTCTTTGTCCGACGCCTTCTTGAAGCGCCACGAGCGCGGCGACCCGCCCCCGCCGCCTCCTCCGCCGCCTGCAACAGCCAAAGCAGCTCCTTAGGCAAAGGCCCGCGCGCACTCTCACCTGCGCAACAAAGCAACGTCATCGTCTCCAACACATCAAGGGGCTTACTTATGTTGAGTTACTCCCATTGTTGTGTCCGTTTGTGTACGGTTTCAAGTACATTTTTACTAATATAACAAGGTGTGCTCCACAAAAACTTCACTTAGACATATCATTTAATGTATTCACAAAGCATAAATAGGTAAATTACCTATTAATGACAAAACACTTCCAATGGAATCGCAATGTATTTATATATACAGAGTATTTCCGAATAAATTGTATAAATGTAGAAAACAGGTGGACCTGGTCAACGGAAATAGTGTTCGATAGTCAAGCTTGGCTCTAAAACGCTGAAGTTCGATGCTATTCAAGTGAAAAATGCCTGCGATTTTGGAATACCATTGGGCTCTCGGAACGTATATCGTCACTATTTCAAGCTGATTGAGGTAAGGCTAAACTTTGGTTCGTAAACTTTACAGGTGGAGTAACCAAAATGCCTCGCATCTTAGGAAGAGATGGGTCCAGAAGTGCTGAAAAGTGAATCATGATTTCAGCATTACACTTTTTTCAATACATAATTATTTACACTTTATTTTCAATTCAACACGTCGTTATTCCATCGTCCTTATTATAAACCATCTTACTGCCTTACTGCTTTTACTACCTTCCATCTCTGTAGTTTATCTGAGAACTTCACAATCACCACTGAAGGTTATGCGCTTAGCTCTTTATACTCGTATGAAAGTGATTAGAAAAAGAGTGGAATAAAAATGGAAAATATTTTTGTATCAAAGAATATTTATATTCTGTAGAATATTTTCACATATTTACAGAGTACAACTACTAAAATGACGTGTTTTGCGTGAAAAAACTTGACATAATAATTTGCAATACAAGAATGTCCACAAATTTCATGCATCCAGTAAATGTGTGGGAATATGCAGTATTTGTCATTTCGTGCAACGATCCAGACATTTTGATCACACATACCCAGTTGGTTCAACCCAATTTCACCGCAATTGCATTCTATCAAAGCAGACTGTTAATGAAAGCATCCAATATGAATGCATCAATAACTAATTGACAGCTATGACGTTATTTGAATTATACAAATTTTACTACACCAGTGCTCATATTATGCTACAATGTGAATAAATTTTTTCAATATATCTCTTTGTGATTATACAAGTAATGGCTCAACCAAGGACCTGTCTGGAGTATTGATAACATCGAACTACGTAAGTGCAATAATACTAATACTAACAATACTAACAACAACAACAACAATAATAATAATAATAATAATAATAATAATAATAATAATAATAATAATCAGCCCCGTGGCGCAGACGGTTACTGCGGTTAGACGGTCGTCTGCGCCGAGGAGGCTGCAAGATCGAGTCCTGCGTAGCCATCGTCATATTTGTCATTGTCCCTTCAGCCCTCATCCTATCATCTCATAATTCACATTTCAAGGCGTAACAACCGTTTCGTATTGAGGGATACAGCTGAAAAGCTCATCCTCGAAGATTTACACACGCTAATCGTGTAGCGTGGTCAGTATGGCCTATACGGTAATAACAATAACAAAAAGAAAAAAAGCAAAGTGTGTACGTATTTGAGGAAAGTTAAAACACTTCTCACATTCAGGATCTCTTCGACTTCTCAAATGCCACCAATTTTTAAATCTGGGAATTTGGATACCAATATAGATAATTCCTTGAAAACGTGTGTCCGCGTTTTCTGTAAACTGTATTTTCTTTTCATTCTTTTATAGAAGAAACGGGCTATAATGTCTAAAGCAATGTAATTCAACACACGGAAGGGTACACCAATCGCGACGTGCGTTGGGGAAAATGGCTGAATGAGTCAGCCCTCTGGACTCACGGGTTGACGCCCACGCGACGCAGCATCGACAGAAAGCTTTCAAGGTCACACGTCGGAAGTTGTTCAAAGTAAACCGAAGTCGCCATCTGGTGAGCACTCCTCCAAACAGTGCGAGGATAAATTTCCTGAATAGAAACCAGTCAGAATATAGCACTTGAATTAGAAAATTGCGTGTGACGTCATCCACACTTTCCTCGTGTGAAACTGATGTCGTTTGATCGACTGCTTATTACACCCATTGAACTTTTAAATCCATACGTCTTATTACCTTCTTATTCCAGCTTTAATTTACAAGGACATTCGGCTAGCGAGAGGTGTTGGTCATAACCAGTCGACCATACAATCTACAGTGGGAATTCAAAATTAATTCACAATGCAATTACTTATTATTGAGGGAATTTCTGAATTGCAACAAGGCTCCCAAACAAACTGTTCCATTTTTCACTGGCAACTCAAGAGCAAACTGCCACTTCTAATCAGTTGTCAAAAGATACTGGTTATTTTTTTGTCTCAAATGTGTTCTGTGAATTATCAACAATAACAATTGTATTTAAAACAAAATTTTCTCATCGAAAATAAAGAATATATCCGGTTTAACACACGGTTTTGGTAACTACATTTTGCTTCACCTATTCCAATTACCACTGTATTAGTAAGTTCATAACCTTGTTTCAAAGCAATGGGTTTGTCATGAGTCGTTCTGTTTATTCATGACAGCTGCAGTACAATGATAATATTTAACTTACAAAGATATTACTTTTGTAATTGCTACTTAAAAATAATCAATGAATAAAATACATCTTGTATCCTGAGTAGGTTTGAAGTTCACTTGCTAGGGCAAGTAAATGCAAAAGAAGTAGATAGATATACTATTAATAACTTCGAACACAGTTACAATTCACGTAGAGAATATTTCTGTCGCAGAGAGTAGTGTTTATGTTACGGAGTGTTTTGATATCCGTAGTGTACGAATTGATCTCAGGGAACAGATTTTTGTGGGATGAAAATTAAATTCAACTGTTTACCTTTCTTCTCTGTTCCATTTCACAAGATCAATATTCATGAATACTTGGAAATTGGAAGAGTTCGTTTCAACGTTTACAGTTTTAGCTACGGTTTCCTCTCGACAGTGGCAAAAAAGGGAAATGTATATGATGTATTTATCATCGCAGTAATTTTACAGCTCACTGAGCTGTAATTTACATCACTGGTAATGTGTGATGATATATCTTGTCAAGAAGATAACATAGTTGATTTTAACTGTTATTGAGAATAACTTGAAATCTAATAATTGTCTGGTGATTCTGGCAAACGATATGGAATTACATAGTTCAGTGAATACAAAAATTACGAACTTGAATGAGATTATCATCCCATATTCAATGAAGAGATATTTAACATTTTCGATATCTAAAGAGCAAACTGCCCTACCACCCAATGTCAAAAATGGAACTGCCGCATAATGTCAATAACTATTATATTGTCGTCAACTGGTAAGAAAGAACAATATAATACTTGTGGTATTATCAGTAAATTTTAGGTTTATTTACGCCAATCTCACAATTTGTATCTTATGCAATTATCTTCAAAGCCCGAAGATTCAATATATATTTGGCTTAATTCATAACAAAACTTAAATCTCTATAAAGAATAAAGTGATGACATTATACTAAATGTATATAGTATGGTGGTTTCATACATAAGTGATGTAATGACCAGATTTTAGTGTAAGAACTTTTCTGAGTTAATCTTTTCTTGAGGTGTCATGTGCTTAGTGATGAACCTTCCCTTTCAATTGTACTAACCAAGAAATCTGCACAATAACATGACTGATATTTAAGTATGCTAAGCATGTGCATATACGAAGTCGGCGAAGAAACGCCAAATATATAATGCGCGTAAAACACAAAACATGAAAATATATTGGAATAAGAAATGAGTAGGAACATGACTTGAGTTATTAATAATATAATAAATTGTATATAAGACATATTACAGCAACATTCATGTCGGGTGAAGATGAGAGTTCTGTAATGAATGATTTACGCTATGGTTTGATTTTTCAGCTTTGATGAATGATAAATCAAGATCCAAAACGTTTGCAGAGTATAAGTGTGTATTTCATTTATCTAAATTTCAAAGTAGCTAGCAGTTTTCTGAAACAAAAAAGGTACGTATTTTTGTGTAAATATTTTTATTTTCTTGCTCTTAAGAAGGTACCTCTTAAGAAGAGAAAGTTATGAAATTCTCCTCGAAAAAACAGAAAATGTTTGGCAGAAACTATCGTATTACAAGGCCCTTGCATTGAAACAGTGGATAAATCCACCTGCTAAATTTTGAAGAAAAAAAATCCTATAACACATGGTGATGCCATAATCCGAATTTTATGGGATCATACCGAAAAATCGATTGGCGGCAAAACGTCAGTCCGTCCATCTGCCTGTTAACAATCTTAGCGGCTAAAGCGTTCCGACAATTTTCTCCAAAATTGATAATCACCAACCGATCTGGCGGATGTTGCAGCCCCTTGGTTTTAAAACTAAAATTGTTAATTTGAGGGAACTCTACATGAAGCCCCTGGGACATTTTCAATATTAAACACAGTACCTCCAACGTGTTTGATTAAACTTTGTTACTAGATAGTGTGAAGGACATTTATGAGAATGGTGCAGGTGTCATGTGCGTTAAAAACACTTATTTTTCGAAAATTGAAAAGTTCAAAATTTTGTCGGCATTGTCCTACAACTAAAATATTAAAGATTGAGATTTTTTTCCTATCACTTAGATTCTGAAATAAGATCATCTACAACTTTCCAAATTTTTAGTTTTACAAAAAATATGACTGTGTTAATTCGGGGGAGGCGAATTGCGGTATAAATAGTATCACGTAAGGGCGACAAATTGTGTGCGGTTTTAGCACCACTAGTTTCAAACGCGATCCTTGCCGTAAGACGAAAGAGAATCATCCGCGCTCCGGACAGCAGCGGCCGTGGGTGGTTAGCGCCCAAGAAACCGAGTAGCCGGTCGGTCGGTCAGGCGGACGGGCGCTGTGGCAAGCGGGCGGGCAGGTACGTGGGCGTACGTGTAGGTGGGTAGGCGGACGGAAGGTCGGGGCGGCGGGTGGGGCGGGCAGGCAGGTGAACGCACGGACGGACGGGCGGGCAGCGCGGGGGTGGGTAAGTGGGTGTTTGGTTGTGTGAGCGGACCGACGGATGGGCGAGCGGGCGAGCGGGTGTGTGGGCGGGCGGCGGGGCGTTCACGCTATCAGTGCGCCCAGCCGCGGACCCGCGGGACCCACCCGCCCGCCCCGCCCCGCCCCGCCCCGCCCGCGCCGCATTCACCGTCGGCCAGACGAGCTGCATTATTCATGGCCGGATGAATATTTATCTTTCGCCTTTGGCGACAAGCTCATTAATTCCCGTGCCCCCGGGTCTCCCGGCCGCGCCTCGCACGGCCGGGCGCGGGGGGAGGATGTGGCGGGTGTGGCGGGGCGGCCGAAGAGGAGTGGGAGCGCCCGTGTTGCGGGCGGGGAAGACGCACCGGGCACGGGACGCGCTCTTCGGTTAGAAGGCTGAGTTCATTTCGAGCCGTTCGCAATCGATTTCGAGCAGGCCATTTGTCCTGGCCAGCAGCGCTTTCCCCGATAATCTAATACCGCTTCAATTTTTTCTCCGCGGCGCGGGCGCGGCGGTTGACGGCGGCGGAGGCGGCGGAGGCGGCGCAGGCGACTGGGGCAGCACCAATGGGCGGCCACTCGGCTGTGGTCCAGGCGCGCGAAGCACGGCTGAGCGGAATGCCTCCGAAAGGTGCTCGCATCAGCCTAAAATGATGGTCAGTGGTGAATCATGCGCTTTAGTTACGAAATCTCATCTGAGGTCCAGAGTCAGCCAAGGGTCACCATTGCTGGTAGTAACGTTGCGATAGCTTCATTTTCTGTGCAATACACTTATCGTCATCGTTACTAAGATCTAGAACTGATACTGAGAGAAATGTTAGATAATCGGCAGGTAAATAAATATTTGAATCATCTCGGGTAAATAAAAAGTATTGATTATCGCAAGTTGTGATATCTGCTTCAGTTTTATTTAAAATTATTAAATTTATCCTCAAAGTGTGTTGGACAGTTTCACAATAAAATATCCATCTATCAGTCGGTCAGTATTTCTCGTGTTAAATGAGAAAAGTACTTTTCAAAAAGCAAATCCCGGAAGAATCCAGAAACGACACAATTTTCGATCTCAAAAAGTCATTTTTTTGTACTGTTGATTATTTTGAGCGACATTTTAATAAACTTCTTTCCGAGTATCCCAAACATTTACAAATAATTGAATGGACACACATTCATACTGAAAAACCAGAAGACTCAGGATGCGAGGCTATCCTGACCGTATAATTCACACATTATTTGTGCATTTTAGAAGCGAAGGTAAGAGTGGAAAAAATTGTTCCAAGTTGTTTCAGTGTGTACGTAAAGATATTAGTTATTTGACAATAACTTTGGACCTCGGTTTGCTTATTCCTATAAAAATCTAAGATACAAGGTAAATGAAAGAACTAATCAAAGAAACTATTTCAATATTGAAAATATTCAACATATGGGCACATATCGCTATTTATGCGTCCAGAAAGGGAGAACACGTTTAATAAAATAAACTAGTCTTTGTCCTATTGCAATAGAGCACTACACATGATATGATGCATTATATATGGCATGATGTACATGTTAAACCCGGTCAGCAATGATTCTACTTTGTGTAATTAATTTGAGACAGAGGGAAAGAATACACAGCACTATTTTTTCGCACAATCAGAGGAATGTTCTATAAAAAGTAGTTTTCCTCAATGAGTGGTTTTAAACTATCCCTGTTTCTATGTATTATATCCATTCCACCCAGAATCGCAAAGTGAATCAAAATTTAAAATATCCAGCCAACACACGACGAGTCTTCCTTTAATTGCAAGGAACACAACGACGATTATATAATTCACAGCTTTCGCACGGGCTCTCCTCTTAGCAGTGTGGAGAAGATAGCTGATTCAGTTACACAGGTTCTTCGTGGTAAATCATATCCCAATAATCAAAGGAATTATTATGAGTATAGAAATAGGTTTACGTACGTATAGAAGAATCAATGTATTCGCAAAAAGCATAGGAAGCGTTCAATAAAAGAAACTCGTTTTCGTTGTTGACCGCTCTTCTGTACTCCTTGTTGCCAACTTGTCTTTCCAGCCGACACACATTTGTAAAGTAAATCTTAATTACAAAATCCAGCCAGTACACGAGAAGTCTCCTTTGAAAAACAATAACAACAACGATGATTACTGAACTGACCTGGAGGAGATCGATGTTGCGTCTAGACTCTTCAAGGTAAATCAAGTTTCCAACCATCAAACGTACTATTTTGAAAATTGAAATGGGAACATAGGGTCAAATATGACATTTCACCAAATTAAGTGAACGTCCAATAAAAGGTCCCACTTTTCCTCGTTGACTGGTTTTCCTCGTCGCCGCTTGTTCTTTCCGCTCGACCCAGATTTGCAAAGTGAATCACTATCAGAAAATCCAGCCAGCAAGCGAGGAGTTACCTGTCAAAAGCATTAACAACGAAGATTAATATATTCCCATCTCTCGCCAGGACGCACCTGGCAGCTAGGAAGAGATAGTCGGCGCTTCAAGGTGAGTCAAAGATCCAACCAGCAAATGTTCTATTTTAATCATTGAAGGAGGAACATGGAATCAAAGATGACCTATCACAAAATCCAACGAACTTCCAATAAAAGGTCCCTGTTTTCCACGTTGACTGGTTTTCCTCGCCTCGACGTATTCTTTCCAGCCGACCCACATTTGCCAAGTGAATCGCATTAGACAACCCAGCCAGCGAGCGAGGAGTCTCCTTTCAAAAGCAATAACCACAGCGACGATTAGTGCATTCCCACCTCTCGCACGGACCCACCTGGCAGCGCTGCCCGTGGCCGCCGCGCGGAGCCTTGAGCTAAATTTTTGACGCGCCCGCTGGCCCGCTGGCCCGCCCCGCGCCGCGCCGCGCCGCGTCGCTTTCCCCGCGCGGGAGCGGTTGCGTCGTGCGGGAGCGTGGATCACGCGCGGGCCGTGATCGCGCGTGATTGAACGGGGGACGTGAGCGGAGGGCGACACAGGTCTAACGGATGCGCGGACGCGGGAAAGGAAGGTTTCGGGCGTACTTGGTTTAGCCAATGGGACCGAGACGAGGAGTGGCGTAACAGGTGGGTGGAGGGGAGACTAAAGATTGTCGAGAAGAGGGGCACGGTCTTTGAATTTGCCGGTGATGGTGTCCTAAGTTATAAGATTATTGCATTACTTTCAGGATGACTCGAGGGCTACTTTTCTATGTACCCTGCGAATGTTGTTATCAGTCTTAGTAAATAAGTTCAATCTCAGAGTACTGTATACTGTACTGTATATCCAACTGCTTCATTTCCAACCTGCGATTAACAACTTTTGAAGGTTTCAAGGTTTATACCCATGTATGGAGAGCATCATTGCATAATTTACATTATTTCAACCTACTCTCTCCCCAATATTTAATTTTGAAACTCTTTTTTATTAGTGACGTGCTTTTATTTAATACTTTATTGGAAAAGAAGAAACAATTATACAAGAATTAAAGAACAAAAGAAGCAAAACTGTGTTGTGTTACTATAATTTTTCTTATTTCGTATTATGTTATTGAAACGATCGTGACAGTACATTTCTCTCTCTTGTTTTAATGAAGTAGTTCTCACGAGAGTGATATAGCAAGTCTGATCTTTGAAAACGTTTCATTATTAGTTTATTGTTACAAAGCACTCTGCAAGTTGCAACACTGCAAGTTGTAGGGTTATTGTAGGTTAAGTTCTTATTGCGCTGCTACCTATGAATAATAATATTGCAAATGCATTTCAATTTTCGATGAGAAATTGATGGTTTTTATAAAACTTTTCAATATTTATACGATTATTTTATTCGTATTAGGTATAGACTGAAAGTTACTCATTTACAAGATATTTTACCGAGCTTTGAAATAGTTTTCGAAAAATTCTGTTTTCATGACGGAATAATTAGAGTAAATTTCCAGTGATTTAACTCCCGGAACTTTCTGTGAAAGTCCATGAATGCTAGTACTGGCCAGTTTGCAATTACCCTAAGCTCGCAGCCTCTGTGAATAGAGTAATTCGCCGATCATGTTAATTGGTAACCTTTGCGCTGAATCACGAAAGGGCTCATCACGAAATCCGCTCATTGATATCATCAAAACAGTCTCACTACAACAGTTTGACAAGTTGTTCAAATTAGTGATAGTTGGGTTAGCAAATGTCTAAAAAAAGCTAAGAAATTTTGGTTGTGCAAAATGAAAAAAGAGAAGATATCGTACTAGGCAATAGTTTTATGTTCCTCCTGAAAAAAGTATTACACAAACAATTCTCGATATCTTTACAGGTAAATTTCATAGATGAACAAGTAAATATTACGTGTTATCACTTTCTTCATTCATCCTTAGCAAATAATCAAGAAGATAGTGCGTGTTTAGCACCTTACAACACCACCAACCATGAGATAACATTTAATATTCATGTATTACGCTCTTCTTGAATGAAAAGTGTTTACTCCTTCACAATTCAACTACTATAAAGTGCCTTGAAGTGATGTCCGTTTTTATACGCGCCATTTGAAGTTAGTGAATTTTAAACCGTTTTGGGCCAGGAATCCTCTTAACATCAGTACATCTGACATTAGTATTTTAAAATAATTTTCAGTTAACTGAATGCAAATTCATATAAATGGTGAAAATTATTTTTTAAACCCCAGGACCAACATCTTGAGCTTCAGTTGAGTTATTCTAATTCACTAGCTAATATAGAACTTGATAAAAGTGAAACCATAAAGCAATTAATTTATAGAACATGGATCATATATCAATATCGCTTTTAATGCAAAAGTAGGTTTGATGCTAATTAACGATCGTGACATAAAATCCTAATGTCAAATTTACAAATAATTCATCTTCTTAATAAGCGTTATTAAAAAAACAAGTGTTCTGGAAACCCGTGACCTATTAACTACTTTCGATATTAGGATGTCAATAATTTTATAGAAAGTGGATATACATAAAGTACGTTACTCTTATTGTAAAATCTCATTACAATACTAGGTTATTGACTATGTTTGATAATGCTTCAATTTTACATTGTAAAATGATGTCTTACGATACTTATTTCGTAAATAACTATTAATTATATACTTAGAAAAAAATTGTTTAACTCGACTTGTTAACGTAAGTTTTTTAGAAGATAGAAAGTTGCTAATTTGAATATGAGGAAGTTGTGTAACATTAGCAATACAACA